TTCTTCACCGTACACTTGTTGATATTTTTTGTTATTTTTACGGGGCACACAATTTCGACAGACAGACCGTACAGCATTCGTGCCACTGACCTCTATTCTGGGCCATATCTCTCAGCGTCTCCAACCAACGACAATCCTCATCCCTTGGGCCCAAACCTGGAAGATGGGCTGCACCAACCGAAGCCAAAGTCAAAGCCAACTTTTTCATGCCTCTAGCCAATGTCATGGTTTGACCGCCGCGCCGCTTCTTCCAGCCTTGCCCGGCAAGTGTGACGAGAGCACGGAAGGGTAGTGGATGGGCAAGCATACGCAATACGTAACTAAGCCATCGAAGGCCGTGTAGAGCGATTACTTCTGTGAAAGAACGACTATCCGCACCCAACACACGACGACGAACCTCGTCATTACTCACCCACCAGACACGAGCAATGCTTCGAAGACATCGGTGGTCAAATACAGAAAGTTGATTAACATCCTCAACGCGGAGGGGCCAGATCTCACAACCGTAAAGGAGAACGCTACGAACCTCGGCGATGTACTCCCTTCTCTTAAGGGACAGTTGGATGTCATGGTGGTGCCACAGGTTGGCGAAAGCTGCTCTAGCTTTCGCTATTCGTGATTTGATCTCCTCCCCAACCCCACCATCAGCTGCGATCAAGCTCCCGAGGTACTTCATGCCCTCAACTACTTCCAGCTGATCACCACAGAGGGTGAGTGCAGGCACAGGCTCCTGCCAGTCTTCAACCAGCACTTTGCACTTGGAAGGTGCAAACCACATACCATACCTGGATACCTCGATCGCCAAACGGACTTGCCTGTGTATTGTCACCTAGAAACGCGATGTCATCGGCATATTTTAAGTCAAGGACTCTGTTCCCTGGAAGGAATTCAACTCCACTGTTTGCTAGACCGGATAAAGCATTCTGTATAACATCCTCCATGGCGAAACTGAAAAGGCATGGGGATATAGGGCAGTCTTGTCGAACTTTACTGGAGACGAAGAAGGGTGGCGAAATTTGGCCATAGGCCCTAGCCTAACCTGAGGAATGACGATACAACTCTTTGAGGATCGACACATACTTCTCAGTTACTCCATAGCGCGGTCCTGTCGACAGAGTCGAAGGCCGTATGGATGTCTGAGAATACAATGATCGTTGGTCTTTGACAGGCATGACGGTGCTGTTGCAGCTGTCGGAGGGTGAAGATTTGATCGGTGCATCCACAACCGGCACGAAACCCAGCCTGTTCCTCACACGTAGTGTACCATCGCCGGAGAATGACGGACGCCAACAACTTTGACGCTATCGGGAATAGGCTTATGCCCCTTTGATTGGCGCAGTCATTGCGCGGGCCCTTTTTGAAGATGGGGACAACAATCGATTCGCCCCGAGGGGGAGGGGAACCTGCTCAGTGTTCCACACTTTAAAGAACAGAACTTGTAGTTCTCTAACAAGCTTAATTCCACCATCTTTAAATAGGGCTGGATAAAGGCCATCGGAGCCCGGTGCTTTGTGGCGTCCCAAGGCTTGGATCTCCTTACGGATTTCCACCTCAGAAGGTGGGTCTGTTAAGACAGACCATGGGACATGTGCCGGAATAAATGTGTGGGAAGCTGACGCTGGAGGCCGGCTAAATTGTGCTTTGAAGTGCTCCGCCCAGCGTGCTAGGCGTCACTGTTGACTATGAATGAGCGAGCCGTCAGCTTCGCAGATCGTTTGGCTCACACCCAAGGCTTTCCTGCCAGTGACCCGGATGAGATGGAACGGCTTACGATGGCGGCAGAACGTTCCATCTCTGACGCGCGTTTAGTCCACCAGATCTCGCGGTCTCTGCGTAGGCTTGCATTAAATNCATGTCTCGCTACGAGTTGTGTTTCATTATGCTCACTGCCGGTCGGTATCGATCGGCGTGCGTCGAGAAGGCGTAGAGGCTGCAGAGATCCAGGGTGTCACGGCGCGACGAGTCAGACCACAACTAACAAAGCCAGCAGAATGCAGAGCATTCTTGATAAGCGACCAGTGCTTGTTAACATTATCGAGTGGGGTTCGTTCTAGCGTTACGGCTAGCGCGTTTTGGAAGACAGTTAGACAAGCTGGTTTGGACAGCCTATCACAGTCTTACCGTCGTGTCGTGCGTTCGGGATGCCCACCGAAGCACATGGACAGCTTGGCGCATACTAATGCGTGGTCGGATTCGAGAGGATTGCTACAGTACGATCGGCAGTCTTGAATGCAGCCCCGTCATTTGTGGCTTATCGCGATGTGGTCGATCTGTGTCCGTGCCTGACGCGAGGAGGGCGGACGCCAGGTGGCGTACCGGCAGTTGGAACGTCTGAAGTTCGTACTGGCGAGGAACAGGCGGTGGTCGGAACAGAGAGCTAACAGCTGCTCCCCGTTTCCCGAGCGACAGGAATCTAGTCTGAAAGGACCTCCCAGGTGCACCTCACTGGAAGTCAACCGGCCTACTCTAGCATTCATATCTCCTGCTGAAATCACGATGTCAGCCCGGGTCGCTTCACGTAAGAGGTCGTGAAGATTGTGGTAAAATGCATCTTTGACTGCATCTGGGCTGCAGTCCGTTGGAACGTACGCCGATACGACAAACAAATTTCCTCTATCGTGGCGACGGCTGCTTATCTTGCACGAACCTCTGAGTCTCACTGCGCACAACCTACTGTCGACTGGAATCCAATCCAGGAGGACGGCCTCAGCTCTCACTGAGAGCTACGCCAACGCCAGCGAGACCGGAAGTCGCAGCCTCAGGGTCCCCAGACAGGCGTAAGTGAAACTTCACTGATGGGTTTGACGGGGACGTCGATTGGATAATACAGCTGGAGTCTTGAATGCTAGTTTCTTTGATGCAACACACATCGATGGCTAGAGTTTCGAGCGTACGAGCTAAACACGCCTGTTGTCTTATACGCATCAGAATACGCACATTAAACGTGGCTAGTTTGAAAGGACGTCGAGGGTGGAGAATGGCTTCAGCTGGTGGAGGGTTCGGTGAGACTTGGACAGTAGTCGAGGTAGGACAAGAGAAAACAGCGGCAGAATTTCTGCCCGAGACACT